TAAAGTTAAGTCTCATTACATTAGGTGCCCACCCCTGGGGCTGTAGTGTGGCATCTTCCTCTCTTGATTCTGGTGGGTTAAGAGTGGACAGTGGGTAACATTTTAAAGAAAGTGTAGATGCTGTTAGAGAAAAAGAGGTTTACTCAGGAGGGGAAGAATACATATTTACCATTTTATCCCCCTTTTTTCTGTCATTAATGCCTAGATGTTAATACCTTGGAATAGGTTAGTTTATATCTTTTCTCCTGTTCCCTTCTTTCAAAATGTTACCAATTGTTCTTTTGAAATATCGTATCCATCTTTCATTTTTCTTATTTCCCCTTACTACCACATTGGCATTGACCCTTAAATTCCTTGTTGCTAGTCTTTTTGCCCCCAATACAATCTTCCACCACCTACGATCTCCTGAATGTGGCTCTAATTGTCATTTCTTTTAGAAAATGCATGCTAGATTCTTTTTCCAAAATTAGACAGAACTTGCTAAAACAACCATGATTTTCCAATATGCACACTTCCTTTCAGTCAGACTTATATCTTCTAATACCTAATTTTGAATATAAAAAATGTTCATGTTTTTAGAGAGTCCACAATATTAGATCTAAAATGGATTGTGCAAATAAGTTAGCCAAGCCTTTTTTTGGATAAAGACGTGGGGAGAAAGAATGAAAAAAAAAAATGAGACCTAGAGAAGTACCTCTTCAGAACAAAATTTCAGCATAACTACATCTAGGCCCTGGGTGTCTTAAGCCCTAGACCTGAGTTCCTTCTCTGTGCCAGGAATAACCTGTTCTCTGCTGTGTCCTCCTCCATTTATCTCTATCTCCATCTCCCAGACACCGTTATGCCCTCCTGTCCAGCTGAAGTCTGTTTCTTTTTTCTGCTTGCATGGTTTTCATAGAGCTCCAAATATTACTGAAATTATTACCTGTATCATGCACTTTTGTAGTTTCTTTTAATATTGCATTTTGCATGTTTTTCATATTATTTTAGGCCTGTGCTAATGTAACTTATAAGAAATACGTTTTTTTGTCTTTGTCCATCATTCCTGGCACACAGCTCCTCAAATCCTTGCAGTTTCCTAAGTGATAAGTGCAATAAAGATGAAATGGGTATTTTTTGTTGTTGTTGTTATTCATAATAAGCTCCTTTGAACCACACCAGAATTTATGCTTGAGGTGATTTTTGGAAAGCCCCTAGATAATCGCAAAAAGGAGGGGCTGGTTAGCGGTGGAACCATCCTGATCTCTGGAGAGTTTAATCATCAATGGCCAATGATTTAATGATTTTGCTTGCATAATGAGACCTCCATAAAAATATCTGAAGTTGGGGCGCCTGGGTGGCTCAGTTGGTTAAGCGACTGCCTTCGGCTCAGGTCATGATCCTGGAGTCCCAGGATCGAGTCCCGCATCGGGCTCCCTGCTCGGCAGGGAGTCTGTTTCTCTCTCTGACCCTCCCCCCTCTCATGCTCTCTGTCTCTCATTCTCTCTCTCTCAAAAAAAAAAAAAAAAAATATCTGAAGTTGAGGTTGGGAGGTATTTTGGGCTGGTGAATATGTAGAGGACCTGGGGAGGTGGCACCCCCGGAGAAGGTGTGGAAACCCTTCCCGCATACCTTGCTCTGTGCATCTCTTTGGTCTGGCCATTGCTGAGTTGTATCCTTTTATGATAAACCAGTAATCTAGTAAGTAAACTGGTTTTCTGAGTTCTGTGAGCCATTCTAGCAAATGATCAGACTTGAGAATGGGGTCATGGGAACCTATTTTTAGCTGGTCTGCCAGAAGCAGAAGGGACAAATGAGACTTGAGATCAGCATCTGAAGTGGGGTGGTCTTGTGCGACCCCTCCCCTGACCTGTGGGATCTGACTCTCCATGTAGATCGTGTCAGAGTTGAGTTAAATTATGGGACCTCCAGCTAGTGTCCACGGAGAATCAGAGGGTTTCTTGATGTGTGGGAAAACTCACGTATCTGGTGTCAGAGTGAAGTTTTGAAGTAGAGGGGAAACACAGAAGGGTGTTTTCTTTTGTTTTCTTTCAGGCCTCAAAAGACTACAAATGTCTCAGAGATAGAGTTCCCAGAGTTACTTGGTATTGTTGTTGTTAATATTTATATATCGTCACCAAGCACTACAGCAAGCATATCCTCAAGTTAAAATTGTTTGGTGGCTTTTATTGAGTAATATTTAAGATAAATTTTAGATTAAATGCTGTAAGGATTTAATTCCGGTGATTTTGATCAGGGATGCTCACCCATATTACTTTTGGAGGCAGAACAACCACCAGTGGTATTAAAATTCAGCCGCAGTTTAATAAATTAGATTTGTGGCATCTTTGTAAAGCTACAGCCTGGCTAGAAAAATACCTAAAAAGAAATCTTTTGCTGTTTTTCTTGATCAAATTTTGTCAATAAGATACACAGAAGATGCTCTCAGTGTTAACATTCATGACCTGACATTCAGTGAAGGCTTAAAGGAGTGGCCCATTCTGAAAAGGTAGATGCAGCTAGGATGAGGGAAATCCCAGAGGGCGCAACCGGATAGCCTCTGAAGGCCATCCCAATTTTCAAACACAAAATTGTTCAATGTTATAGATTAAGTTTTATCCTCATGTAGATTGTTGGGACATCTAAATGTTATACAAAATAGTTTTAATCCTGAGGAAATATTTCAGTCTGAGCCCTATATTACTAGGTCTTACATTGCACATTTTGTGTTTTGGAGGCTGGAGTGTGACCAAAGAGTGTCCATCAGGTAACAAACCTTGCAACCACAAATTCAGCATTGTGCCATGTGTGTGAGAGAAAACCAGAGCCTTCTGCTTCAAAGCTGCTATGTACTTTTTATCAAAAGCATGTCTTTTTTTTGTTTCTTATCAATTTTATGTGTTTAAAAAATGTTACAAAATAATTTTTTTAAAGGTAGAACTTTTATTTTTATATAGAAGCAAATTCAAAGCCTCAGGTCAAAAAGAGAATAAATTAGCCATGTAATATGGTGCTTATGTTGTGTTTTTTTTGTGATTAAAAAAGGGCAGTTTTCTTAAAATTTTTATTTCAGTGTTTAAGAGATCATATAAACAAATATAAAAAAGGATGTCACGTGGAATACGACATTACAAAAACTCAAGTTATCTAATATAGAAAGAGCTAGAATGTTTGTATGAAATTAAAACAGCTGATGTTTAAAATGTAACAAACATATTTCTCATTTATTTGACTTATATCTTCTAAATTATGATGGTCTATTGCTTTAAATCTTCCTTGAATTAGAATTTTATACCAACATTTTCCCTATTATTAGATTGTGATTGTTTTGAGTGTAGTGTCTATGGCTTTAGACATCTTATGTCCCCCCTATTATTCTATACTTATTATGGTATAGATATTTTACAAATGTTTCCTGAATGAATGATAGCCATGCCTGAAGAAAATCCATTTGTTCTCTGTTGAAAAAACATCAACAAGGTGAACTTCTCAATGTAAATAAGGCTCATGGGAAATCACTCTTTTGATTTGACAGAATCCTCTAAATGAGAAATATGGAATGGACACATTTCTGATCAACTCGTAAACTCTGTAAATGTGTTCATGCCAATAAAAGGTAGAAAGGCTACTTTCACAATGTATTCAGTTGTTTTTATCTGATGTTGAGAAAAAGTTCAGATGTCTAATGGTGGCATGGGAAGGTAATGTAGAGGAGATTTTTAAAAAGCAAGAAGTACAACATCGCTCGGCATCAGGGAAATCCAAATCAAAACCTCAATGAGATACCACCTCACACCAGTCAGAATGGCTAAAATTAACAAGTCAGGAAACGACAGAAGTTGGTGAGGATGTGGAGAAAGGGGAACCCTCCTACACTATTGGTGGGAATGCGAGCTGGTGCAACCACTCTGGAAAACAGTATGGAGGTTCCTCAAAAAGTTGAAAATAGAGCTGCCCTATGACCCAACAATTGCACTACTGGGTATTTACCCCAGAGATACAAATGTAGGGATCCGAAGGGGTACATGCACCCCGATGTTTATAGCAGCAATGTCCACAATAGCCAAACTGTGGAAAGAGCCAAGATGTCCATCGACAGATGAATGGATAAAGAAGATGTGGTATATATATATACAATGGAATATTATGCAGCCATCAAAGGGAATGAAATCTTGCCATTTGCAATGATGTGGATGGAACTGGAGGGTGTTATGCTGAGTAAAATAGGTCAATCAGAGAAAGACATGTATCATATGACCTCACTGATATGAGAAATTCTTAATCTCAGGAAACAAACTGAGGGTTGCTGGAGTGGGGGGGGGGGGGAGAGGGATGGGGTGACTGGGTGATAGACATTGGGGAGGGTATGTGTTATGGTGAGCGCTGTGAATTGTGCAAGACAGAAAAAGAAGAGTATAGTAGGAAGGGAAAAATGAAGGGGGGGAGATCGGAGGGGGAGATGAACCATGAGAGACTATGGACTCTGAGAAACAAACAGGGTTCTAGAGAGGTGGGGGTTGGGGGAGGGGTTAGTCCAGTGATAGGTATTAAGGAGGGTATGTACTGCATGGAGCACTGGGTGTTATATGCAAGCAATGAATCATGGAACACTACATCAAAAACTAATGATGTAATGTATGGGGATTAACATAACATAATAAAAAAATAAATAAAAAGCAAGAGATATGCTTGGAGGCTGAAAAACTGTAATTTAAATGTAAAATTAGATCTCATAATTTAAATATTGTCTGGATACTACAGTGGGTACAATATAGTGTTTCATTCTTCTAATATATGTATATTTTCACCTTTGAAAGGACCCATAGAAATTTTGGCCTAGTTTCCATTGAAAATTTGTTTTCAAATTAAGTATAGTAGCTTTGTTCCAATTGTTTATAGTAGAAAATATAAAATCCTGCCATTGGATAAGAAAATTTAAATTTATCTTAACACACAGGGAACATGGTTGTTTCCAAAGTACGTTTTTCTTTAATTTTTTAATCCCTGTTCTTTTTTCCCAGGCATTTCCTGGAAATATCAACTCTGATAGCGTGGTTCGGCATGATTTGCAGCATCCGGTTATTGCCCGCTATGTGCGCATAGTGCCTCTGGACTGGAACGGAGAAGGCCGCATTGGGCTCAGAATTGAAGTCTATGGCTGTTCTTACTGTGAGTATCTGCTGAAATTTGTGGTGGATTTTGTCATCTTCATGTAATTAGTGATTTGTTTATTTTTGATTATTTAACATTACTTGCTTTCTCTGACAATAAACTGCCTTGTTTTTAGATATAAATAACATGTTAGTTTATTTGTATGTTATAAATATATTTTTACATCTTTACACAAAAACACATATAAAAATACCTTAAGCAAAGGATTTGGAAAATGATTGTTGTTCAGTAGACTAAAATGACAAAGCTTATTAATTAAGTTGCTTGAAGTCTTATACAATATTTAAAAAGTAGAAACTTACAGTATTATCCATCATTTTGACTCTTTGTGATGGATTTTGGAGAACTTCCTGCCAATTCTCGTCAGTTTCACCTTTTACTGTTTTAAAGCTAAGCACTAAGTTTTAATGTCAGTGATATTTTATATGTCTATAAGTTTTATTTGCTCCTTTAAAAAATTGACTTGGTCACCTAAAATGATTCTTTTCTTTTAATCACGTTTTAAACTCTTTTTTTTTTAATTTCTTAAATGTATTATATATATATGTCCAGTGATTCTAATATATGGATTTTTGGGGATTGCAGCTCTGCTGTCTTGCATCTACTCATTTTTACCAGTAGTGCTTTTTTGCTCCTCCTCCTCTTCTGTCTTTCACCTTCTTTACAGCCTTCTTATCTGCCTGTCCTTCCCTTCTCTGTCTTCTTGACTGTGACCTTAGTTTCTTTAAAACCTCATCTGTGGACTTTCTTTCAGGCCAAAGTTGATGATGGATTCATCTACCGAAGATTTATCTTTGCTTATTTGCTTCTAAGTAGACAGTGCCAACACAGAATTACTTTAAAGATTGTTGAGCTATTTTGAGGCCACTAGGTAGTAGAGATTCAGTCTGCAAATACATGATTTGCAAATACTGGCTTTAGAACATGAATTTCTGGTAAAATAGTTCCCTCCTCCTAGGAGTCTACTATTAGACTCTCCCCTACCCTTCCTATAGATACATAAAAATAAAAGTTCACTATAACCAGAAGATGGCAAATGACCTATTGGCAAGCTTTTTAAAATTAACCAAACATTTGGTAGTTTATAATAAAAATATATATAAAGTTTTCACCTCTGTACAAATCAGTTACAGAGATTGGTGAAAATATTAGCTGTCATGATGACCTAATCATTTTTATTTATTCATGGGCAACATTATGTGCAAACTGAACTGGTTACTACAAAGTGGCCATGGAGATCATTTAAAAATTCTATAGGTGTTTATTTTATTTGGTCATCACTTTATTATAGCAAATATGATGAGTAGAGAGGCATAGAAATTTAGTTCTTCAGCAGAATGTAGATCTTCAGGAGGAAGATTTAACTTGTTAGGAGAAGCCTAAAATGAGCCCTAACATAAATTTGGGTTCTCTCTATGTGGTCTGGGTATTATGGATACAGAACTCTGTGTTCACACATATTCCAACTGTCAGCACATTGGGAAGGCCAAGACAAAATGTGGTATTTTTCTCGGTATGATGGATTTTCTAGGGAGCATGTTCAGCTTTCAGTAAATGAGAAATGTGTAATACTCTTCATGGAAACCATGATGTGTATAATTTATTAATAATTACTTATTGAGCATTTTTTATGTGTCATGAAATATTGCTGAATGTTAGTAATACTACAGTGAATAAGGAAAACATTCTATGAGAGACAAGGTGGGACAATTAATATAGTAGTATTTATTAGGATAAAAACAGTGAAAGTTAAAATTCACCCAGAGGCACATCGCCTGAGTGATAGAGCTGAAAGGAAAACCGGTGAGTCTGGTACAATGCTAGAGCTCACTACCACTGTTCTATTTTCCTACTCCTTAATTCCAACAAAATGAACAACGATGTGACCATCTCCAAGTCAATAAAAGAATCATATTGACACCCCAGAAACACCCATCAGGCCCTCCCCCAGTTACTACTGCTTTTTAAAGGTAAAAATTCACCTGATTTTTATCCTCATAGATTAATTTTACTTTTTTTTTAGTTTCATAAAAAAGGGAATCCTAAAATATATATTATTTCCCATCTGACTTCTTTTCTTCAAAATAATAATTGTAAGAATATCCACACTGTTATTTAAGGTATTTGATTATTTTCATTGGCACTGTTACTTTACTGTATGAATATTCTACAATCATCAATTCATTTCATATTAATGAACATTTGAATTGTTTCCATTTTTGGCTATTTTAATAGAATCGCTATAAATATTCCTCGTGGGTGTCACCTTAGGAAAGGGTACTACTAAGTTAGGATATATGCATGTTTAATTTTTATCAATAATAACAAAATTTTCTCTGAAGTGGTTGTATCAATTTAGACTCCCACAACCAATGTACTGGAGTTCCTATTGCTTCACAAATTGGGGCACTTAGTATTGATTTGAAAGTTTTAGCCATTGTGGTGGGTGTTCATTATATCTCATTTTAGTTTTAGTGAGCACTTTCCTGATTTTTAAAGAGGTTATGCTTGTCATTCATTTGTATACCCTCTTTCTTTGAAGTGTATGTTGAAGAATCTTGCACATTTTTCTATTGTGTTGTCTTTTATTTATCTATTTTCTAATTGTTTTGAGTAGTTTTTATAGCCAATTCTCTCTTTTATTTTATTCTTGTTATAATATCCAGATGTGTTATCTTACTTTTGAGATGGCTTTCTTTAAAAATAATCATTTTAAAACCAACACTGTCAGTGGGGTTACTTTAGAATTCACAGTAAGCGCAAATGCAGCTTGCCCGAAGGCACATAGTGTGGGGTGACTCAGATGTGGCTTACAGTTGTTCTGCAGTTGTTGCAAGTGGATCTGTGAAGTTGTGAGCTCGTGCAATCATGGCCTTCTCCATCTAGCCTGGGCTTTGGCAGTCACAAGGTGGGAAGGAAAAAATACCGGAAGCTAAGTAGGAAGCTAGGCTTTTCTAGTGTATAAGCCTCTCTGGGGGGAAAGATCGTACACTTTAAGAAACTGTATTAATATTATACCAATAGGAGCCAGTGGAGTAAATGATGAATTGGCAACATAAAATAAAATGTAAAATAGAAGTTGAAAAATACTTGTAGTAGGTTGTAGTAAATTGGATAGTGGCCTCCAGAGATATCAGGTACTAATCCCTGGAACTGTAAATTTTACTTAATAAGGCAGAGTGTTTGATTAAGTTAATGATCATGACCTGGATGGATTATCCTGCATTATCCAGGGGGCTTCTAAGGACAGTGAGTTCTATCCTTGTGAGAGGTGGACAGAGGGAGAATTCACAGACAGGAAAATGGAGGCACTGTGACCATGGAGCAGAGATCAGGTGATACGTTTATAAGTCACGGAATGTCAGCAGCCACCAAAAGCTGGAAGAGGAGAGGAGTAGATTCTCCCTGGAGCCTCTGGAGGAATTGAGGTCCTGCTGACACATTGATGTGAACCTAATGAAACTGATTTGGGACTTCTGGCCTCCAAAACTGTGAGAGCATAGAGCTGTTGTTTTAATTTGTATAGCAGGGCCTGGAAACTATGCAAGTATCAATATCATTTTAGGGCGAAAAGAGATACAAAAATAGCTCTAGAGCAGTGTTCTTCAGTAGAACTTTAAACAAAGATGTAAATGTCCTTGACCTGCTGTAGTCCGCTAGTTACATTTGGCTGTTGAGCACTTGAAATGTAGCTGAGACAACTGAGGAACTAAATTTTAAATTGTATTTAATTCTTATTCACTTAAATAGTGTGACTGCTGGCTACCAGATTGGTTGGTGTAGATTAGAAGAACCAAAACATCTGCTTATTATTTTTCTTCCATGTTCTTTTATAGTTTAAAGAACCTACAACATTTATTTTTTAAATGGTATTCTCTGATTTTTTTCCCCTTAGTTTGGAGAACAACGATTTAATCATGCTGGACACAGTCTTTATTGTCAAAGAGTTGATGACTGATGTCACTTCTTTGACCAGATCCCTAACTGGGCCATTTTCCTAACTAATGTCCAAATCAGATTATTTTTATTTATCTATTTTTGAAGAATACAAATTGTATTTGTCTTTTCCAAGAAAAATACACATTTATAACAAGAAAAATATGTGTTAAACATATTTGTGATGGGCAACTTTTCTAAAGGTACTATGGTTTAAATTTACCTGTCCTGTAATTCAGGCTACAGTGGGCCCTTAGAAGATGGCCTCCTATTTTCTTTTTTTTTTCATTTAGTGAACTATTGTGTCAGAGACTTTGATTTTTCAATGAGAAAAAGAATCATGAATCTTTGAGGGGGAAAAGTCAGATATACCCTTTTATTTTGCCCTCATTAGAGTTAGCAGTACTGTGTATGCTAGGGTCCCAGCAAGGAGAAACTAGGCTTCGATCATTCCTGTGGGAGAGAGAAATGAATTCTCTCATCTTTCTAGAAACCCCTTAGAGGATTTATCTGAGGTCTATTTTAAAGTTCCAGGTTAGGGAATGGGGTTGTGCTTCTTTTATTTCTAAGTTTGCCAGAAGAACTAGAGAGGGAGAAATCTCAGTATGAGCGCTGCTTCTGTTGGAGTGTGTGCTACTGTAATCCCCCTCGTGTTTGTCATTTTTCCTTGTGCAGTTCTTCCGTGATCTCTTTGTCATCTGAGAAGTTTGGTACTTCTCAAGATTGCAAACAGAAAGTTCACTCTATTCCAGGTGGAGAAGGTTAGTTCCAGGCCACTACTTTGAAGCCTTTAGGGCTTCTCCTGTTTGTGTTTCCTGACTTGTCTTGAGGATAATATGAGTTCTAATTTCAATGAATCGAAACTCATTTTAAATTATTCTGTTCCCTCTACATTTGGTTTTCCCTCTAGTTGAAACAAGTGCATGCTGTTATTTTTAAAACTTAGTGATAGTCCCCACGTCTTCGGACTCAGTAAACCTCCCAAAACACCAATGCTAATCTTCTAACTCTGTACCAGAGGGACTACATGAAGCAGAAGGGAGAAGTCTCAGTCTAATAATTCCTAAAAAATCATGTATGGCTGCAGTACTCAAACATTAATTTTACA